ATTTCAATTTTTCATCTTTCGAAAAGCGTCAATCCATCATGACATGAATCCGTCATGCATGCATGCATGACGCGCGTCGACACTTCTTGTGAGAACTTGTGACGTAGTTTCATGCAGCAAATAAATATTTTTACAGTTTGAAATCATGTGAAAGCGCGAAAAAGCGCCGCCGGTCTGCAGTGCCAGGGATCCCGGGACTCCGTTCAGGGTTGGGACGATGCCCTGGCATCCAACTAACTAATTACTTCCAAGACCACTATTACTATTACTAGTATTAGCAAGAGTACATGTTATACGCACACCCATATTTGGATCCCGACCCCGGCACATTCCATTACCCCCTACCCCTACCCTTGCATGCAGTAATTCATACGCACTCCATTACCCCCTACCCCTAGCCCTGCATGCAGTAATTCGTACACATTCCATTACCCCCTACCCCTGCATGCAGTAGTTCATACGCACTCCATTACCCCCTACCCCTAGCCCTGCATGCAGTAGTTCGTACACATTCCATTACCCCCTACCCCTGCATGCTGTAGTTCATACGCATTCCATTACCCCCTACCCCTGGCCCTGCATGCATTAGTTTGTACACACTTCATAACCATATTTGACCCATTATCCCCTACCCCTATCCCTAGCCTTGCATGCAGTAGTTCGTACGTACACACTTATAACCATATTTGACCCATTTCCCCGCTACCCCTGCATGTTATAATTAATACCGTACACATTTGTAGCCCGTTTTCCCTCCTTCTGCCCCTGCACATAAAACCCACCGTACATTTGATCTAATTACATCCCTTTATAGTGTACATAGTCGGGCTATACACATAATATACGCGCCCAGCTAAATGGGCGCGCTCATGCATTGTACCGTACATTCTATTCTAGTTCACTCTAAGATAACCAAACTTCGATAATCTAGTCAGAAGAAGAATCCACTCCCTAATGTTGATGTCGAATAATTCTGTCCTCGTCGTGAGATAATATATACTTTACCAACTCTCGTAAACTGGTCTCTCTGGTGTGTGAATAGACAACATTGTGAATTGACAACATTGGCGCCCAACTTTGGCTCTAATTACCCACTCCCTTCGCTCTACCGACTACCAACAACTCTGTAATGAATATTCCCGGTGCCTTTCACTTCCCCGCGTGAGTAACTTCGATAAGCTTGTGTATCATATTAGTCATAAGTGCTTCTGCCTACCGTTGTGTTCTTGTTCGTTTTCCTTTTGTGTTAATTGGTGTCCTTTTGTGGTGTTTCGGGTGCATCAGACTTATCAGCCTTACTGTCTAGTGTAGCATACTTAGTACGAACCTGTTCGGTCTTCCATATTTGATCTTGAAAAAAAAAAAAAAAAAAAACTTCAATATGTCAAGTCAATCTTCTTGGATAATGCCCCGTCCATTCTCAGGCAAAGAGAACGAGGATTTCGAAGCATTCTTATTAGATTTCGATAATGCTTGTGATGCCAATGGTTGGGATGATACTACCGTTCTGGCTCGGCCTGTCCGTCCAGCCCCCATAAGAACCCGAGGGGAAGCATCTGGTTCACACTATACGGTTACACCATCTCCTGTTACGTCTACCCCGGCCCCACCTAAAGAGGCTACATTTTATACTCGGTACTCTGAAGCTTGTTCGGACGGTCCTTACGCACCTGACGATATTCCAACACCAAAGATTCATTATGCTGATGATACAAAGTCCAAGTCTAGTGCCAGTAGTAGTAAGCCAGATGCCTCCCTCCCCACTAAAGACTATCAGTGTCCGGGTCCCCTTGGTCGTGGTTCAGATGTTGGGACTCCCGTTACTCATAACCCCTTTCTGACTGCTCTGGAGGCGAAGGATGAAGATGCTGCACGCAAACTTCACTGTAAACTTGTATTGTTAAAGAGGTCACTTCGTGACAGTGCTGCACGTTTTCTATTAAGTTTAACAGTGGTAGAATGTGGGCAGTATGACACCCTTCGCAAAATCCTTACTGAGCGATACATGCCAGCCGAAGCCCAGTACGTCCGTAGAACCCAGCTACGTACGAAACGCCGCCAACATGGGGAATCGTTGTCGACTTTAGCCGACGACATTCGTTTGTTGACAGCCAGGGCTTATCCCAGAGCAGGAGTACTAGAGAGGGATGATTATGCCATGGAATCTTTCATTCAGGCTTTAGGCGAGTCATTGCGTGCAAGGGTTAGGGATAGCCAACCTGAAACCATGCAGGATGCACTGCGTAGGGCTCTGTATTTGGAAGCACATTCATTTGCTGATGCCTCTGCCAGACATGAGCGTAATCATAGTCATGATCCGTACAGTGCAGCTGTGTCTTCTGTACGAGATGAGCGTCCCCCTGGGTCTGGTTCAAAGGGTAATAGTAGTACCTCCCGTGCACAGCAGTACAATAATGAACCTGATACGCTCACCCGTCTCTGTTTGGCAGTAGAGAAACTAGAGACTCGCCTGTCTGCCCCTGTTAGTACTTTTAATGGTGATCCCCATAAAGGCCGTAAACCCCAGTACGATTCTTCCCATAATGAACCTACCTCTAATTCTGCTCGCTCTTATGGCACAGGCCCGTCCCGTGGCTCAGTCCAGGGCCGGCCCACCTTCTTTTGAGTCTGGTTACCAGACCTCCCATCATGATAATTATGCTAGGCGTTATGACCCTCCCCGTGGCTCAGTCCAGGGCCCACCTTCCTTTGAGTCTGGTTATCAGCCCCCCCTATCACGATAATTATGCTAGGCGTTATGACCCTCCCCGTGGCTCAGTCCCGGGTCCACCTTCTTTTGAGTCGGGTTATCACGATCACCCTATGCCACATGGTCCTCCCCGTAATTTTGATCATGATGCATCCTATGCTGCTCGTCCCGATCAAGGGATGGCTTATGGTCCCCCTCCACCCCGTAGTAAACAAGGTTCCGGGTATGGTCCTCCTCGTCATGGTCCCCGTCCACATAACAGTCGAGTACAACAACAAATACAACATCAACTACTACCACCACACCCTTCCCAGCACACAACACCAACACGCCCATTAATGCCACCGGAGGATGCTCGACGGACAATTGAGCGACGCCGCCAGACCCGCCATACCCGCCGCTGTCGAACCCCCGCTTTCATCGCCAGGTCTCGGCGACGGGCCGCAGCTCGCCTTCAACAGCGGGCCCGACCCCGGGCGATACCACCCCCACCGACCACGCCCCCACCGACCACACCTCCACCACCACCACCGCCACCGTCGAACCCGTCTGGCCGGTTCGATCGATTCAACCAGGATTCAGAACTGGTTTCAGAGGCCGACTGGTCCGATGAAGAGTACAACCCTTGACTGTGTTTCCCCTCCTATTTTCCCTGTGTGGTAATATTTGTTCTTCATACACGTTTGCTATGTCGAGAGGTTTTGCATCCTCGACGCCCTTTCCCCCTTTCCATCCGTGTCGAGATGCTTTGAATCCTCCACGCCCTTTCCCATTTGTGTCGAGATGCTTTGAATCCTCCACGCCCTTTCCCATTTGTGTCGAGATGTTTAGAAATCCTCCACGCCCCTTCCCCCTTTTCCATCCGTGTCGAGATGCTTTGAATCCTCCACGCCCTTTTCCCTCTTTCCCCCTCTAAATATTTTCACGCCAACTGACCCTATCAATTCCAACTGTCACGGTTTATATATTTTTTTCATTCAGACTTTGCGATTTCCCAACTTCCAAAGTTCCCTCTATTTACCCTTCCCACAATCATTTAATTAAGCCCCTTTGCTTTTCATCTCCAGCTGAGTGTTCGTCCTCGCTGTGGAGTTTAGCCCCTTTGTTTCCACGCCTCCAGCTGAGTGTTCGTCCTCGCTGTTGAGTTTCCACGCCTCCAGCTGAGTGTTCGTCCTCGCTGTTGAGTTTCCCCCAACAGCTTTTGCATTCTTGTTGTGTGCTTGTGGTTGTGTTTTGTTTTGTGTTCGTTCTGAGTTGTGCGACTCCTGATCTACTCTTCTTTTGGTTCCCTCTTTCTTCTCTCTACCTCTCTTTCTGTCATTCACTTGCCTTACACGTGTTCTGTTTGTACATGCGGGTGTCTGCGGAATGCGTGCATGTCAGACTCGTATGTGCGTAGTGGTTTACATGTCCGTATATGTGTGCTAGTTAAAATGCATGCCTCATTTGTAGTATTATCAATTTTTCGTTCCTAGATCGTGGGGACACGATTTTTGTTCCCCACGGGGGGAGGTAATGTTATACGCACACCCATATTTGGATCCCGACCCCGGCACATTCCATTACCCCCTACCCCTACCCTTGCATGCAGTAATTCATACGCACTCCATTACCCCCTACCCCTAGCCCTGCATGCAGTAATTCGTACACATTCCATTACCCCCTACCCCTGCATGCAGTAGTTCATACGCACTCCATTACCCCCTACCCCTAGCCCTGCATGCAGTAGTTCGTACACATTCCATTACCCCCTACCCCTGCATGCTGTAGTTCATACGCATTCCATTACCCCCTACCCCTGGCCCTGCATGCATTAGTTTGTACACACTTCATAACCATATTTGACCCATTATCCCCTACCCCTATCCCTAGCCTTGCATGCAGTAGTTCGTACGTACACACTTATAACCATATTTGACCCATTTCCCCGCTACCCCTGCATGTTATAATTAATACCGTACACATTTGTAGCCCGTTTTCCCTCCTTCTGCCCCTGCACATAAAACCCACCGTACATTTGATCTAATTACATCCCTTTATAGTGTACATAGTCGGGCTATACACATAATATACGCGCCCAGCTAAATGGGCGCGCTCATGCATTGTACCGTACATTCTATTCTAGTTCACTCTAAGATAACCAAACTTCGATAATCTAGTCAGAAGAAGAATCCACTCCCTAATGTTGATGTCGAATAATTCTGTCCTCGTCGTGAGATAATATATACTTTACCAACTCTCGTAAACTGGTCTCTCTGGTGTGTGAATAGACAACATTGTGAATTGACAA